ATCCTGATTTTTTACAGCCTAGTGGATGTTGCTCTCAAAATGGATGTTTACGTATAAGTGCACTCTCTCCTTAAAAAATTCCTCAATTTTAAACTAGAGAAAGTAGCGAGTTGAAATTTTCACAATGATTAGAAGACACTCGACTCTAAATGTTCTGAAATTTTCGATAAAATCGGCGAAGATTCTGATTATTTCTAGCCTAGTGAATGTTGGTCTAAAAGTTGACTTTTTCCTTTAGTGCGCTCTCTCCTTTAAAAAATCATGAATTTTCAACTAAGAAAAGCGGAAGTATGAAATTTTCACAGTGCTTAAAGAACATTCGACTCTAAAAAGCTGACATTTTCGCCAAAATCGCCGATAATCCTGATTTTTTCCAGCCAAATGGATGTTGGTCTCAAAATGGAAGTGCATTCTCTCCTTAAAAAATTCCTCCATTCCAAACTAAAGAAAGTAGCAGGTTGAAATTTTCATAACTATTAGCAGACACTCGACTCTAAATGTACTGAAATTTTCGACAAAATTGCCGAAGATCCTGATTATTTCTAGCCTAGTGAATGTTGGTTTCAAAGTTGACGTTTTTCCCTTAGTGGGCTCTCTCCTTTAAAAAATCATTAATTTTCAACTAGGAAAAGCAGAAGTATGAAATTTTCATAGTCCTTAAATTACAGTCGACTCTAAATACTCTGACATTTTCGCCAAAATCGCCGATAATCCTGATTTTTCCCAGCCTAGCGGATGTTGCTCCCAAAATGGATGTTTACGTATAAGTGCACTCTCTCCTTAAAAAATTTCTCAATTCCAAACTAAAGAAAGCAGCACGTTCAAATTTTCACAGTTATTAGAAGACACTCGACTCTGCATGTGCTAAAATTTTTGCCAAAACCGCCGAAGATCCTGATTTTTACTAGCCTAGTGGACACCTATAATGCAGCATTATAAAGTACAGGTTTCGGAATCGCTAATTTCAGGCTGAACCCAGCTGATGAGCGCTAATGGGCTCGAAACCGGTTTGGGGGTGCCTGAGGTTAGCGCATTTCGAAATCTGCACTTGCCTGTTTCAAAAGCTCATGACGCCGAAAGCCTTTCATTGTTTCATTGTTCACCGCATATATTATTTAGCAAAATATTTCTTCTAACTATATTTAACGTAAAAGGAACGTCCTTTTCATGTATGAATCAGATATATTGGTCCGGTTTATTACGGTTTAGTTTTTAAGCAAATCTCAGATTTTAGTGGGAATTTTGAACTTTCTTTCCTGTACTCTCTAACTAGCTCTAGACAACACATCAGGAGGATTCACGCCAATGTTGAATCGTTACCTGACCGCTAATTTTATGGCGTGCCAAAATATAGTTTGTACGAAAAACGAAAAAATGCATTTTATTACTTATTTGAGATACTTACAAATTTCTAATATTTTCACAGTAATCCGCAATATAATCAATGGATGCACATGCAAAATCTTTGAATTCTTGTATGTTCATCTTGCTGCCACTATCTTCGACCGAATGCATTACCGTGTCAGGCTCTGGGAAGTTGTAGTCACTTTCTCCATTTTTTGATTAAATCACATCATATACGTAACCTGGTCACCTGTTGCGGTGTAGATGTAATAATTTCGCTAGAAAGAAAAGCGTTCGAGGTACCGATTGTAGGTCAGTCATTAAGATCGCTCGCGACGAAATGAATGACCCTCTAAATTTTACTATTTATTTTAGCCCAAATAACCATTTCTAACTGAAGTTGTTCAATATTTGTTTTGCAAAATAATCTTTCCAATTAGACGATTCTTTATGTAAGCCATGCAGTACACCTAAGCGGTTTGAAAAAAGGAAAAAAAGATTCACAAAAATTCTTGGGAACAAGATTAACTTTTTAATAGAAACTGCATGCTCTTTTGCGACTCATTTGATTGTTCATATTCGATTTTTGGAGTAGTGATGCGTCTCAAGCAGCCTCTCCCACTCAAATGACCCTCACACCTCTCAATTTTTCTTTCAAAAATGGACAACGTTTTCACCAACTTATAAGATGCGTGCATAAATAGATCCCATGGGTTCTATTGAATTCAAGAAGAGCGAATGCAACAAGTTTAATTGTTTTCGCCACTTTGAAACGCGATTATTCGGAAACCTGTGGAGCAAAAGTAACAAAGTAGGAGACTACTGAAAAGAATTGAAGACTTTTAAACGCTGTGCCAGTTGATCCAAATTTCGATCGTTAAACGTTTTAGTGAATTTTTATAAATTCGTTTGCCCACAGTTGCCAGTATCTACCGACTGCTGCTGAAAGTCTACAAAATATGTAGTTCGTTGGTTAAAGTTATCCTGAAAACATTCAAAACGTTTATTCAATAAGGTATCTCGCTTTACGGCACCAGTTATCACAACTTACCTCATGCTAGGTACATTTAAAAGTCACTGTCTCAAAAGTTCACCAAATCAAAATTTCAGTTTTGAACATGATTGCACGAATATCACCACTCATGCAACTTCTTCGTAAACATGACCGGTACGTAATGAAACATAGCGCATGTAACTCAAACATTCTCGATAAATAGACCAAAAGTACTTCAAAATTACTGAATCATATGTGTTTCAGTTTTGGCCAAGTTTTACAACTACTGCTACGAAAATTTGCATCATCTAATCAAGTATCAAAAGGCAACTATAAGCAATGTACGATCACTGACAATATGGTAGATCCATGCAGACCGGAGCCATCAGTTGTAATCATCGGAGCTGGTATTGCTGGGCTGAGTGTGGCTCAAAGGTTAGCTCAATGTGGATTGAGCAAAATTACCGTTCTCGAAGCCACTGATAGGTTAGTGTTGGTCACACAAGATTTTTACTGCTAGCAGTCGTGGCATGTGCTTTATTTTTAATTCTTGGGGTATGAAGTTGTAGAAGTATGTGGGGGACCCGAATGAGTCTGGCCCTTTTTCCCATTTGGGGTATGAAAATGGTATTTTTCGCTGATTGTACGTTTTTAAATACACACAACAATAGAACACCAAAACGAATTATGCCAACATTTCATTACCGATAGTTCACTTTCTAAAAAGGTCAATTAGTCCTCTCTAGAATGGTGTAAAAATGAGTGTTCTTGTTCATTTTTTTTGCCGAGAAATGAGCAAAAAACGGGACGGAAAACGTGAAATTTTGGCATAATCTTGCACCTAAGTGTCTGATATTCAAATTTCGCTTTTTGGGTCAAAACTATTAGAATTTCCTCACTGACTGAATCGAGTTTTCAATTCTCTATTCAACGATGCAAAAACAAATTTTGTGACTCAAATGAGGCTTGAAAAACTTCGAAAAAGCAGCGTCATGTTTGAGTCGAATTTGCAACTCAAACAAACACGCAGATCTAAAACTTCTTTAAATCAAGACTTTTTGAGAAAACTGCCAACATTTCCTTATTGACAGGTCACTTTCTAAAACGGCCATTTAGTTCTCTTTGGAATGATGTAAAAATGAACGTTCTTGCTCATTTCGCTTCCGAGAAATGAGCAAAAATCGGGACGGGAAACGTGAAATTTTGGCATAATTTTGCACCTAAGTGTCTGATATTCAAATTTCGCTTTCTGGGTCAAAACTACT